GATAAACCCTTTTCAAACAAATGGGTTTATCTCTTGGCTTACCTGATCCAAGGTGCTATACTGTCTGATTTGTTAAATCACTACCATCTTTTCTTTAGTGTTTGTCATTCTTTTTTCTCCTTTTCCCCCCCCTCCCCCCATGATTGGAGAGGTGTTAACTGGCAACTTCACCTTCTGTCGTCCCTTGAAATTGTGTTAACCGCTTATGCTAGACAATGTGTTCCACCTTGTATTGTACCTTTTCCCAGACCCTGCAGAGAAGTTTTGTGTAAGCGCCAAAGCTTTTTTCTCTCTGAGGTGGGTTGAATAAGATATTACCTCTTATCACGGACAGCAGAAGAAATCTTTGGATTACCTATGAAGTCTGAAATCTGTGTCTGATAATTTCCAGTCATTTTAAAAGCTCTTCTAATGAGAAGGTTTAAGTGGCAATTGTGCAGTACCTGAAGGGTTACAGTTCACATAGATGTTGATGGCATAACAACACTGAGCTCACTATTTAGTGATTTTTATGCTGAAAATACCTGATTCACCATCTAGCACTGTGGCATGACTCACTAGACAAGCGTTGGGAGGGGTTTTTATAATCCTGCTGTCTGGGTCAGGAGGGTATGAATGACTGTTGAATCAGCAGTTACATAGGTCTCTGTTTCAGAGGGGTAGCTGGGTTAGCCAGATTGAGGTAATACAGAGACTTATAAAAATCAGGATTGTTTATCTCTGGAGGGGGAATGAGCAGTACTTAAGGCTTGCACTGGTGACCTTTTGCATGCCACAATATTAGCCATTCCTAAGATCCTTGCAAACTCTACAGTCAGAGACCACATGGCTCAGTTATTTGACAGTAGTCTCTGAATGACCTAGCTGATAGACAGGACAACTTGTTCTCACTGTTTCACACTATGGCACAGGTCCAGAGGACCCTGCTAAGCAGCCTCCCATTTGACCTTTCCCATAGTTGCTTAAAGACAATTTATTCATTTCGAAGGCTGTCTACATTGGCAATTGAACGACACAACTTTTGCCGCAGCAGGTGCCACTGTGAACAGTGCATTGGCAGCAGGAGTGCTCTCCTGCCAGCTTGTTGGGGGTGGAAGCTTTTAGTCAGCAGGAGAGCCAAACAGCCGCTACACTGCGTGACTTTTAGCAGCACAGCTGTGGTGACACAGCCATGTCACAAAAAGCTATGTAGTGTAGACATAGCCTAAATAGAGTAGGGTGTGAGGCACCAACCAAGCTGGAGTTCTAATTGATTCCTACTATTGTCATATTGAGGTGTGAGGATGTCTAATCCTCTAACAGACTTCTAGGTCAATTGTTGCAAGGAACTAAAGCCCCCCCACAAACGGGAATTATTTCTCTAAAGCTAGGTCTACACTGGCACTATCATCACTCAGGGGTGTGAAAACGCCCACCACTGCTCCCCCCCCCTGAACGACGAAAGTTTTGGTAAGTGTGGACAGCGCTTCGTTGACGGGAGCCATGCTCCCATGGACAAAGCTACCACCCCTTGTTGGCGGTAGTTTGTTTGTCATGTGACTGCTCTCTTCCACTGATTGAGCTGCTACACAGTGCACCTTACAATGATGCAGCTGCAGCAGCACAGCCACACCATTATAAGGTGCACAGTGTAGACATGGCCTAACACTTTGACTTGCCCAATCTAGAGCGATGGGCACCTTAAATGTTAATAATGCAAAGTAATCTGGTGAATATATAAAACAAGAGCCCTGAATATTCTAACTGGCGTCCACCATAAGCCAAAGCACTGCTAGAACTCAGGTTATTCCCAAATCACTCCCCTAATGCAGCTGGTCCATGAGATTACTGTGACCATCATCATAGGCTTCCCCAGAGGAAGACAGGTTAAGGTGTATTTGTTCAGAGGGCTCCTTGGACATTGCTTAAAGCAAATTGGTTTTGGTTGACACTTTTTTCCCCCCCCCCCTCCCTCTGTAGGTGGGAAAAGAAATGCTTTCTCAACATGCAAAGCAAAGGCAGCAGCGCCGGGACCCCTTCTGGAAATGGAAGCTTGTTAAAACCCCAGGTGTGTCCTTCATCTGTACAGACCACCACCAGGGTCTTTCTAGGAGGTCGAATTCACCATGATGTCACTGCTAAAGACACTGAATCATAAAGACAATCACTGCCAAAACCCTTCACTACCACAGGACCCCAATCCTGATTATAAAAAGGAGCATTTCAGCATTCCCAGGTCAGCAGAACATCTTTCATCTTCACCTTGCACTCCTAAGTCTGTCTCTCTCCTCTGTCTGCATATTGAGTCGGCAACAGGTAGGTCAGCTGTCTCTGCCTGCTTCAGCCAACTCAATAACGTAGACTAATAGCTACCCTCATAGAGCACATTGAAGAATGGAATTCATCTGATTGAGGAAGATGCTCAAACATTTTTATTTAATGGTGCAAAAGGATCAATTTTGTTTTTAGCTTTAAGAAACTTGAACGCTTTTATATTAACTTTTAGTTTAATGTCATTGGTGTATATTTTACTAGTTGTGAGCTTTTAAATAAGCTTCAAGTATCTGATTTTTTTTGTCTTTTTTTTTTCTGACAGAGGAAAAAAAAACCTTAATGGAAAACGTGGCTTTTTGTTGAACTATTTGTAACAAATAGTGGCCTCCCAGTCTATGTAATAGAGTGTCCTAGAGAACTAAATAAATGTACCACCACAGTCAGCTGGTCAGTAGACATGTCACTCCTGTTTCATTTACACTCTAAACATAAGCAATACATCCAGTAAATTCAACTGCAGTGAGTTCTTCTCACCCTTTCCCCTTCTCCTTGTAAAAACAAACACAAAAAAAGCCCAGCACTTGAATTTACTTCACTTGTTCTGTATTTGTATCTGTTTTTGTTAGCCTGTTAGTGGGATTTTATGCCAGTTACTGAAATGAGCATCGATGTACCCATTTTTTAATAGTAAGGCACAGCCTTTGCCAAAATACTGTCAACTGAATTTTTTTTGTCATTCCAGTTTGATTTAATGTGCTGAGCATTTGTTTTTTTAATAAAAGCTTTGTAATAAAACATCACTCGGCCTGTTAAGAGTAATTTAGCATGAGACATCTCTAGTTTAAAGGGACTAGAATTCATAGCAGCTCGAACAATCCTAAGAATTCTATCAAGGTGAATCCATAGTTTGGAGCTTATAGATCTTCAGCTCAACATCACTTTAATGGGTAACATGATTCTTTTACTCACCCACCGGCATTTCTAAGTGTCTTGGAAAAGATGGGATTTTTTATTTTTTTTAAATGCACCTGAAACAACCTGTCCTCAATCACATCCTGGGAATGAGGAAGAGGTAGGGCTGGCTCTTCCTCAAAGGGCCCTTACTCTTTTTCTCCATTTCCTACTGAGAGCTACTGAATGGGTCTGCAGTGGTCAGTGTTAGCCTTGCAAGTTAGAAGCACATTCTTACTGTTGTCCAAAAACCTACCTACAAGCATGGGTCCTGAACCTGCCAACTGGATCTAGGTGGTCAGAAGCTAGTGCCTATATAAATCTTATTGATGTCCATGGGGCTGGATCCAAGTGGAGGTCAGGGGCCCAGGCTGGTATAGTCAGCTTCTTTTGTATTATCGCTGAACTATTTCCTGAAAGTTGGTACTTCCATGAATAACCTCATGTTGTCCATAGGCAATGGGTGACTTCATTGCTGGAAGAAATGCACACAGAAAGGTTTCTGGGAACAGCATCACACAACAGCTCTTCTGTATTCTGAAAGATGCAGGAGTGTAGTATGTATTGGTGTTATCAGACATTCACAGATTTTAAGGCCAGAAGGGATCACTACAATCATCTCTAGTCTGACCACCTTCATAAAAGAGGTGACAGTACCTAATCCAATCGTTCCTGCATCAAAACCATAACTTCTGGTTGAGCCTAAAGCATATCATTTAGAAAGACGTCACACTTCAAGGTAAGTTGTTCCAAATCTTAAATACCATTGCTATTAAGTGTTCCTTAAATCCAAATGTCTATATTCAGCTTACGTCTTTAATTTAGAAAAGAGGCATCTACACCTCCCCATTTAGGTACTTACTGACCATGATAAAGGCCCTTTTTTTTTTTTTAGATAAACACTGAGTTGCTTTACTATTGCACTGTAAGGCAGGTTTTCCAGGCCTTGAATCATTCTTGTAGATCTTTACTGAACCTTTTCCAATTTGTCCACATTGTTTTTGAAGTGTGGACACAATATTTCAGTAATGATCTCTCAAATCCCATAACAATGGTAATACCTCCCAACTTCTTCTCACTGTTCCTCTGCTTATACATCCAAGGCTTGCATTTGCTCTCTTGGCCATAGCATTGCTGTACGTCCTCATGTGCAGTTGATGAACCACCATGACCTCACTCCATCCTTTTCTTGAGTCACTGCTCTCCCAAATAGAGTCCCCCATCCTGGGTTACCTTGCATTTAGCTACATTTAAATACTTGCTGTTCAAATGAGCCCAGTTTACCAGGTGATAGTTCTGTATAGAACTGACTTGTCTTTCCCACTACACTAATTTTTGTGATCTGCAAACTTTACCTAACAATTTTTTTTCTTTCCAGATCACTGACAGACACTTAATAGCACTAGGTCAAGAACAAGTCCCTATGGGAAATCAGTAGAAATGCCCCTGCTTATGTTTAAGTCTGTGAGGACTTGCACACTAGTTCGAACTCTGCCTGTACTTTTAACAGTGTGCCACCCTACAAGATTTCTGCCTCAAACTGAAAACCATGTTAATATAGCTAAATACAAGGTCACAGGACGGGGGACTATATTTAATCTAATGCCTCTCCCCCACTGCTATTTGGGAAAAGAGAGAAGTAACATTTCTGGAAAGTCAATTTAAGAAATGGCTTAAAGTAAAGAAAATAATTTGTTTGAATTATTATGGGCAGATCCTTTAACTTGTTTCAGGTCCCTAGCTCAGGGATTTTGAGAGGAACTCCGATGATGTGGTAATGGTCATGCTAGAGTAAGTCACAGGGAGATAGATTAGAGGGAAGACTGGGTAAAACAGGCAAAGCTGCATGAGACATGTAATCTATCACACAGCTATTACCACCCCCATGAGATAGAAACAAACAGCTGACATGAAATGCATTAGTCACCCAGCTGGGAGGGACCTTCAACTCTGCTTGACTCTGACAGTTGGCTGGGTAGAATGAGTACTTATCTCTTTTGTGGTTGGGAAGTGAGACAGCTCCCAATGGTGACAACTCAGTGAGTAGTAACTGGAGCAGCAGTGTAGATCTCTTATGGGAGGGGTTCTCAACCTTTTTCATTCTGAGGCCCCCCAAACATGCTATAAAAACTCCACAGCCCACCTGTGCCACAACCGGTTTTCTGCTTATAAAACCCAGGGCTGGCATTAAGGGCAAGCAGTGCAATTGCCTGGGGCCCCATGCCACAGGAGCCCTCACAAAGCAAAGTTGCTCTTTGGCTTTAGCCTCTGGTGACAGGGGTTCAGTTTTCTGCACTGGGCCCCAGGAAATCTAACACTGACCCTACTTGGCAGACCCCCTGTCTTAGGGAATAAGGTACAAATTAGTGCACGTGAAACATTCAATCCCTATCTACTACTGCTTATTACAATCTTAGGACTTCCACTTCCTGTATGCAAGGTATATTTAGGGAATACTAAGGCTAACACAATTTCACTGGGAAGCAGTTAAGGTTGCTACTACCAACCTGCCTGACCCAACTTCTTTGTGTTTTGCTTTTGGGGGTTTAAGCCATCTAACAGTATGCACCCTATCTGCTACAGCTGCTATACACTACAGACCAGTCCCCCCACAGCCTTCCCTTGGCTCTGTTTACTCTTTTGCAGATCTTCTCTAAACACTTGCACATGTTAGCTGTTGGGGGAAAGAGTAGATTGGTCTAATTTAATCAAACACCAAGCTTATTCTAAAATAAGAGCATCAACACACACACTACTCTCTAGGGAAACCTACCACCCTCTAGAGCATGTGTGATACCAAAGAAACTATCACTTGGTACAATCACTCTTAATAAACCTCCAATTCTTGAGCAAACTAGCTGAAGTGGATCCTGTGACAAGCTTCTAACTAACTTCTAACTAACATTGCTAGTACTAATTCCTAGAGTTGTCTGTGCAAGAATGAGCAGGCAAGCAGAGAAAACATTAAGATGGAAGTCTGTTCCATTTTCCTTTTATGCGCTGAGATATCTAATGCAGACCTGCTTTCCCAATTGCTCTTGGTGGGTAACTTGTAGCAAACTCCTCTTCCTCATCTAATGCTTTGTTAGTTTTTAAGGCTCAAATCCAAGATTATCAAAAATAGGGGCCTAAGATTAGGCTCCCAGATAAATCTTTTAGGCACATTTCAAAATCTCACCCTTACAGCCAGTTTTGAAAAGACTTTAGCCAGCAAGGGTTAGGCCCCCCAACGGGGCCGTAGGCTCACTCTAACAGTTAGGCACCTTCCTTCCCCATGGAATCCACAGCCCAGAGTCAGAGGGCTCGACACTCTATCCAACACAGGGGGGAGAGGTAGGTGCTCAAGAATGGGATTCGAAGAACCCAACAAGCTGAGGGGGAGCTATCTAAGCTAGCCAGGAGTGAAATGGGAAGTGCCTATCTCCTGCTCAGCCCTTTCTCACTAATATGGAGGTGATGGTAGATATGCCCTCCTCCCCCACAAAAAAACCCACCCTGCTGCTAACCAACAGCCCTGTAGTTAGAGCGCTCACCTGGGATGTGGGAGACCAGGGTTTAAATCTTCACTCTGCCTGATTTGGATGAGGTACTTGAACCTCAACAAAGAATCAACATAGCAGTCCTCAGAACAGAAAGTAGCTGTACAATGGATTGATTAAGTTTACAGACTAGATGTGGACATGCTCAGTTGAAAGTGTGCTATTGCATGTCAAGAGGAGGGGCTAGCGGACACGATGCTCCCTTAGTGGGAGCATTGTTACCTAGAGCAGCCAAATTTCACTGGTCAGTGCAGTCTCAAAAATCCATTTTAATTGTATGTGCAGTTGAGCAAGTTTCTGCTGTACTGTATACATGTTTACTAAATCTATTATGCTAACTTCCAGTGACAATTAAGCATAAAAGGGGGATTTTAGTTGGTGTTAATTCACTATATACATGTACCAGCTCTTTATTCTAGACCAACCTTCACAAAAGCAGGCTTACAACCTTCTTCCCACAACTCAGCAGAGAGCCGCTTGCTGGCGAAAGTGGTTAACCTGCAAGCCGTTCAATGCTGGAGCTAAGGCCCCCAGTGGGAGGTTAGGTTACCAGTGACAAATGTTTTGCATTCTTTTGAATGGTGTGTCTACTATAAGAGTTTGTCCACTTATGGAAAACCACCCTAGAAGCGGTTGCTGGCAGAAATGTAGGATCAGAATAGCTCAGGCTGTTACTAAGCAGAAGAGAAATGCACCAACAAAATAGTATCAGAGAACAGAATAGGAAAAATCCTATTGGCTGGCAGTCTGGAACAGCCAACACTAGAGTCCAGATATGTACAGTTACTTATGGCTTGAGCCATAAAGGGACTTAGGCACCTAAGTCCAACATTTAGGTACAACTGAGATCCTCAAAATCTGCCTAGCTGCCACCAAACCTTGAAGGCAATTAAATGCCCTAGGCACCGATGTTTGTGCTAGAAGGCATGCTCAAAAGTCACTTAAGGCCCAGTGGGATTCTTATACTAGGCATTCTCTTGCATATCTAGCCTGCCAGGCCTGATCCCAGGGGCATGCTCAGAGAACACACGTAACCCACCCAAAAGAGAGCCAGAGGTTATCAGCTCAGGAAGACAGTATAATATGTGTATATCTGCACCAGAAAAACCAAAAGCCTGGTGCTCAGTGCACTCACTATGATTATGGGAGAGCCAAGTTCAAGTCAGGCAGAGCAGGGATTTGAAAAAATGTTTTCACATCCTAGGTGAGTGATCTAACCACTGGACTATGACTCCCACTCCATTATAGCCAACTCTCTCTCTCATTTTTCTCAGCAAAGGACTGACCTGGCGAAGGTGCCTAACTCCAGAAGAGGGTTCACAGCTGTGAATCCTGAGCAGAGCCAAAAGTTAGGCACTCAACTATCTTTGAGAGGTGGGACCTAAACCCTCCTCTGCCTTTCTTAGGAAACACCCCACTCATCTTGCTTACTTCTGAGAATCCCTCTTAGGCCCCTAATTCTTCCCAGACCATGCATAGGGATCCTGCATGTCTAACTGGGCAGCAGGGTCCTCAGCATTCTAACACCCAAGTCCCCTTTGTGGATTTAGCCCTGAGTGCCTGCTAAGCTATTGCCCTACACTTCAAAATCTTCTTGCACTCTGCCCAACCTGCAGCATCTGAACCAAGGCTGAAAACCAAACCTGACTTCCTGCTTCATTTTTATTATAATCACCACCCCATGCAGAAGAAATACATGAGTTAACTACCTGGACTGGCACTTCTAGTATTAAATTACTTATACAGCAGGAGCACCGACAGGCCACAGTGAGGAGTGGAGCCCTATTTGCACTAGGCCGTGTACAAACACACAGGAAGTCTCTGTCCCTTGCCCCAGAGTGCTTGCACTATAATTTAAAACAAAATGCAAAAAGTAACTAACAAACACAAATAAAGGGGTAGGAATGGGAAAAAAACCACACAACTATAACATAAGCACAGAGCTGCTCTACAGAAACACAACTGGATGGTGAATTAATAAAAATAGCAGCAACCCCATTGTTCTGCACTGGTTCACTGCCAGGCCCTTATGTAGATTTCCTGTCCCAGATCACACAGTTACCTCACATACACCAACAGGAATGTATGGTGTATATGCAGTCTCCTGCAGTACAGTGCAAGATACAATTCCCCAACATCTTTGCAGGGACAGTTTCTAACATGCTACTGGCAAGTGGATTTTTCCAGTTCTGAGAATGGCAAAAGCATGTTATGTTGTTTGGGCTGGTATTTTTTTAGCTGAGGGTTTTAAACATCTGAAATCATCATCAGGAATACATCAAAATGAACTTTTGTTTGAAGAGCATGTGTCTAAATGAGACAGAAAAAAAATCCTAGCTCCTTGATACTCCAAGTATCCAAGAGAGTAGGAAGACTGCATATAAGAGCATGTTATTTCATTTTAGTTCTCCTGCAAGAATTGGAATAAGTCATCCTTCAAAGAGCAACAGCACAAGTAGTACAGAGATTTCTAACTGTGGTCACCCCTTTTTTATTTTTTAAAGGAATGGTGGAATCCCACCATGTGGAAGCTACTACTGCTACAACACATATCCTAAAGGAGGGAACACAGGTAAAAAGGCTTTGTCTTAGACAAGGTGTTCTCACCCTTTTCCATAACGACATTCCCCAGAGTCCCCTCTCCCATCTAGCTGGGATCTACCAATATTAGCAATATGGGAAGGGCAGAGTAGATGCAACCCCACATTGACAGCTCTCATGATACAGGAAATTTTCTTAAAGCTCCTGGAGGCAGGCAATTACCTGAGAATCTCAGCATTCATTTAAAAAGAGAGGAAGTTTCTAGCCTGATGGTTGTAGAGAAAAACTTGAAAATGTGACCGTGCACACTAAAGGCTCAGAAACCAGGTTAATAAAACAAGCATTTATCATTTAAAAAACCAAACCAAACCAAACCAAACATGATTTTGAAGCCAACATTGTCATTTTTTGAGGCCAGACTCATGGTTGTTGAATGCTTGCAGCACTGAGTCCCTGACACACATTAAGAACCCCTGCCCTAACTATTGCCGTAGCTCCATTTTTGTCACAATTTGCTGACATTTTAGAAAACAAAAAGCTAGTTTAAAATGACATTTGCATTTTAGTTCCAAAACCACTGGGTCAAACACTTTGTGGGAGAGGCACAAAGGGCAATCAGTCTAAGGGATAAAAGGGTTACCTTTTTCAAGTAGCTTCATTTGGCTGCACAATCACTCTTTCCTCCTGGCATACAAAATACAACAGAGATTCTGAAGATGTGGTCAGTGGAGAGCTGCTAGGTCATATGGTGATGAATTCTCATTTCCAGCTGCCAAAAGTCAATCTAAAAACAGCTATAATACATGTAATTGTTTTTGTAATATTGTTTTTTTCAGCTAAACCATTGCTACAGCTGCCAGAGATGTTCTGTGATTGCCAATGGGAAAAGGTGGTGCAAAGGAAAATCTGTTCTCAAATGTCGTCCACATCATTTAAAAAACAACAACTACATATAGGCTCATCCTAGATTCAATTAAATATTGATATTCTCGCTATCTAGGGAGGAAAATATCTACCACAGTGTGATGGGGTGTACACTCCACACTGACCCTGCAAGAGTTGAATTACACCAAGTGGCCTCAATCAGCCAATTAGGCTGCACTCTGGGAGAATTAAGCCTGAGGGGGAAGCTCACCTGTGTGGGAGCAGGCAGGGCTTATAGAAAGACAACAAACTGTGGGGAGGTAAGTATGCAGTCATTCCCTAGGAGGAAGGGGGTGTATAGAGACAAATAGCTCATGGTTACTCCCTGGGAGGAGGGAGTTGAGAAGCTGGCAAACCCAGAGGAGTGGGGAGGGCCAACAGGTAAGGGAGAGGCTCAGGGAAAGGCAGCAAGGCACAGGAGGGAACCCACCTTGGCTACTATTTAGAGGGTCCCTCAGCCAGAACCCAGAGTAGAGGGCAGGCTTGGGTTCCCCTACCAGCCACTGAGGGACTGGCACCTGGGGTAGCAAATGGGAGCACTGCCTGAAACTGCTGGTGAGCAGGGACTTTGATTCACATCCCTGGAAGGGGAAACCACATAGTGACCTGGCCCAAGGGCTGAGTCACAAAGAGGACTCTGCAGTTCCTGGAGTGAGAGAGTGGCAGACTACAACTACTAGAAGGGGTGTCAGCCTGGCAGAGCTGATCCCCAGAACTGCCAGGAGGTGCCATCCTGCAAAGAGCAGTGCTCCCGTCACACACAGTAACATGTGGGAGACTCAGACTGACATCTGTAAGTACAAACATTATAACCAAAACATGCTTGCATTCATCTACTGGACAACTGTAATTATGAAGCCAAATAGGGAGATTAGAAGGAATATCCTTTGGTGCTGATACAACATAGAGAGTGTTTCCTCTACCAACAGGCAGCCAGATTTACAACCTTTGCACAAGGCTTGATCCTTCTCAGCATCCCTGTCGTACTCACTGCCATGGCTTGCATTTTACACCCCCCTCCCTCTCGAAGTGGAGCAGTACAAAGCATTCTCCCATTAAAATTCTGGTTAAAACTGCATTTGTGAAGTAGGCCATGTTCCTGTGCTCTCCCCAACAGTCAGCAGCTAGGATGACCATAGATGGAGCATGTTTGGCAACCAAATGACCCAGATGCTAAGTTCCGAGCCATCTTTCCAGCTGCAGTATCCGATGCCTCAGCTGTTGACTGTCAAGCTGTCCCCCAGACGTGTGCCAAGCACACATCTCAAAGCTTTGAGGGAAATGCAGTGAATGCTCCTGCTGCGAAAAAGGACAAGGAAGACAAAGAGTTTAAAAACAAGTAGAGAAGGAAACAACAAACATTTTGTTCTTCCCTATTCCCCAGTTCTTCACAATTTTTGCTTTGCTTTGCTTTCCTTTATCAGGAAGAGCGTAAGTGGTTAGCAGGACCAGGTTACCACATCCTCTTTTCATCCCCTTGAGGGCAAGGAGCTGAATCCTTGGGTAATCTTTAGTGATGAAAGGGGAGGTGCAAACAGGTGTTTCCTTTGTTGAATTTCATTAGTCATCATTTTAAGCTAATTTCCCAAAGGTGTCTTTAAACAAGTTTTTGCCAGAAAATGGTGGAAAAAGTTCTTCTACAATTTTCGATTTACTATTTGCATTTCAAGCTTGATTTGAATCCCATTTTGTCATTAAAAGAAATCGTTCCTTTAGGGTTATGATCCCTGGTGCATCATCACTGCCCTAATCTGAATCTTAAATTGACTCAGACTACTGCATAATCATCTCTGGAGAAGGGATATCTGAACTGTAGCACAAAGGCTTTTTGTAGCTGTTATCACTTCAGATTTGTTTCATTATAATCTCTTGAACAAAAGTTACTTCCAACAAGTTCTATGCATTCCTGAGAACAGTAAGCCTAAAAAAAAAAAACCCAAACAAACACACACACCACTTATTTTTGATTTGAGGGCAGTTGGCCCATGTTCTCAAACCTGGGTGTCTAAAGTTAGCCCCTTAAATCCATATTAAGATGCATCAACAAAAGTAGACTAGTTTTCAAAAGTGTAGCTTCAATGGCACTTATGCATATTCTATATTTCTGTGCCTTGCTATGGATTTATGGGGCTAACTTTAGGCACTCAGGTTTGAAATGTTGACTTGGTATCTCTTACCTATGTTGCTTTGTCTGGCGCAGCAGTCCCAAGCACTCCTGAAGGACACAGACACCACTCCCTCAGAGTAAGCACCTTCAAATGTACCATTCATTTTGGAGGGAAAACTTTTCAGGAATAGCAACCTGAACCTACAAATGCCACTTGCAGATTTTGGGTATATATTTTATATGCACATACACAAACTGTACCTGTTAGAGCTCTTGAAAAACAACATCAACAACAACATTGCATAAGGGAAAATTTGTTTCCCAGAATATCACATTTACTGGTGATTGATGAAATAGCTCATGCAGGAATTTAAACATAAACCCTTCAAATTAAATGAAAGATGATCTTATGATTAAAGGGAAGACTATCAACTCAAATTTGGCCCCAAATATTGATTTTGTGTTTAAAACAAAAAAGCTTCCACAAAACACACGATTCACAATTCAAACATTGAGAACCTTAAAGGGAAATTAACTTCCTCCATTTCTGTGTCCATGCTGGAAGAATTTCAAAAAGTGAAAAGCACCGATCATAAAAAGTTAACTAGATTTTAAAAATTCATTCAGTTTTAACAAGCTACGGTGTGATCAGTACCAACAATTTTTGTTTAAAGTAAGATTTCTTTAATGTGACATTGCTCTTATAGGGCACAGAACTGTGCATCAGATCTGGGCTGAAATCCTGGCCTCACTGAAGTTAATAATTTCTCTTCCTGCCTCTGACACACACGTCCTATGTGACCTTGGCCAAGCCACTTAATGGTCTGTGCCTCAGTTTCTCTATCTGTACAATGAGGGTTTGCAAAGCTCTGCAGGATCTTTGGATGGAAGAATTGTCATCTTATTTCTTCAGATTTATAAAATATAGTTATAGGCACACATCCTATAAAGTATCACAAACTAAATAATAGAAAAGGGCTACCAAAGAAATGAACACCCCAACCCTCCGCCCATTTCCTCCACAATAGCCTGAGAAAATGGCGGCTTTGCACCAGACATGAAATATTAACAAAATGTGGGCTCTCGCAAGCCCAGGGAAAAGAAAATTCCAAAACCAAGGACCCATTATAAAGAGTGCCCTGCCTATACATTTACACAGATGGGTCTTGATCTTAAAGAGCTCAACTACAGCAGCCTGCTACAAGGAGAGTGACACTACAAAAAATAAATGTAGTTTTTGAAAAAAGTAAAAAAAAGCTAGTTTATAGGACTCCCCAAAATGTATAAAAATGTTTACAAGCTTTTTATTCTAGCTGGCTAAAATAAATCCATGTACTTAAGACTATAAATTCTTCAGGGCTGGGCCATATCTGTTATATATTTGTACAGGAGCTAGCACAATGATTTGAGCCTTAAGTGCTACCCCAATAGAAATAATTATTACTGCTTTAAAACACAGTATTAAACAGCTTTTTTCCTGAGGAGTCAGCCACAAATGACAGTACAAATCGTTTCAAGATTAATTTTTAAAAATACAGAACCTATAAAAATAATCTGTTTAAGGTACTATTAGATAGTAATCCAGCTATTACTATGTTCTATAGATTAGCATTTTTTTTTTTTAAATGTCAAAACAAAATCAGACATTGCATTTCTGCCTCTACATTTACCAGGATGCAAACAGACTGCCACCCAGTGGATTAGAACCAAGTACACCAATTCAAAGCCAGTGGATTGAATACAGAATTGTTGACAATTTTATTTTCACTTAAATGTGCAGGAGTTATTTTGTTAATATAATAAACTGTTCAAATACATGACTGCTGTTTTCACTTTTGTCTGCAAGAAAATGTCTTGTGCCTGGAAGATCAACATCTGCACAAAGGCACCATGTGTGTGTAAAGCTTTCAGAATTACAAAAAAAAAAAAAATTATCTACCAAATCGGCCCCCAGCACAGAAATTGTTAACTGGTGTAAACAATCACTTCAGAGAGATTACAATCAAAATGCACAGAACCGCCTGTGACATTCTAGGAAAGGCTTGGTCAAGCAGCATTCTTAGTGTAGTAGGAGAAGTGCTGCACAGCACATGCTTATATGGATCCGGCTTGACAACCCCTCATATGCTGGAGTTCATTTGTATTTGTAAAATCCTTCACCAGTCTTCTTACCCATCTTCCTTTCCTCTACTAATTTATTCAGCAGTGGGCTCGGAGCAAACAGAGGATTGTTTGGCTCTAACAAATGCCACCCTGGTGGAAGAAAGGAAGAACAGGTTAGTGGTGATATTTATTATTTGCAAAGATGACAGTCCCCTAGATGTCAGGGACACTTCAGTACTCTTCCATGAAATATTCTCATGTGGGTCTCATCATTCTCTCCTATTTAAGTTCTTTCATTTTAATTAACTGGACCAGAGAAAAAGTTAGTGACTGTAGAATCTAGTGATTAGGGAACTCATTTCAGATGGCAGATCCTTGTTCAAATCCCTTCTCCTTATCAGGCAGAGTGGGGGAGGTCTTGAACTGCAGGTCTCCCACTTCCTGGGTGAGTTCCCTAACCACTAGATTAAAGATAATAAGAGAGGTTATCCTCCTCTCCCTCCCACCAGCTGTTCTGTGTGAACTCACCTGAGGGGGCTGATCTAGGAGGTGGAGCACACATGCTTACTGGATCAAGTCCCCGCATGTGACTTAGATAGCCATCTTCCCTGAGACTAATTGCTCTGGGGCTCAAGTGGGAGACTGCCCAGGTCCCTAGAGAGAGGCTGCAGTGTGCATGTCCAGATGCAGAAGCTTAGGTGTTGAGTGAGCTTAGACACCTATAGGGTTAGGTGGCAGCTGAATGGAAGTTTTGTGCATTGCAGTGGTGTCTAAAAACAGGACTTAGACACCCATGTACCTTAACGGATTACACCCTAGGTATATTCTACATATTACTGAAGGAGGTTATCCCCAGGGTCCCAGCAGCTGGGATATTATATAGTACTAAAAATACTGAGGAGAGTCTAGGAGACAAGAGGGAAGGACTGGAAGAGCAAGGGTGAAAGAAGGATTTTAATCTGTGCAACAGTCAGAAAACTTAACACAGCTCAGAAGTATTGACTAATAGAAAGCCCAGTGATTTACTGAAGAGCATTTTCTGGAAGTGAAATTCTGTTTCAAGCAGACCTTTTTAGAACATCAGCTGAATACATCAGAGCCGTTTAAACAATTACAGTCAGACAATGTGTCATCAACTGCTCCTCATCCCCCTATTTCTGATCAGGAAAGCAGGGCCAGTCATTAAACCAGTGTCCAACCATTTATCAACTGGGGTGAGAGGGGCCCTTCCCTTCACCTTGAGACCTACTGCATGCTGGGGAGCAGCTGTCATGAAAGATGTCACTATGGTAATCTCTGCAAGGACAGCACTTATACCCGACCCCTCAAAATACATTTGCCAGAATAATTCTACAGGAACACAATTACAATGGGCCCTTGTTATTGAGCACAGCAAGGGGAGGCATTAGGTTATAGGGATAATAGGCTGGAATCAAACTCAGACCATCTTCTTTTGGGGTCTGACATCTTATAGCTATTGAGAAGCCAAGAGCTTTAGAGTTGTGTATTTTGTTGTTCACTTATACATGACAACAGTCAACTTTTAACAAATATAAATGACTTCCCTATTAGCTCTGTAGTGAAATATGGTTTGTAAAACATGTTGGAAAATGGACTGGAGGAAATATATTCCTAGATACCTGCCACTTCCAATTCATCCCTCTTCTCCCTTTCTTCCCCATTTTTCATTAGCTTCTACAGCTTCATTGGGATTATTAACCTGCATTGATACCTCTCTGTTGAAAACACAGTCTAAATCAGCCAAATAACCATTCTTGGTTTTCCCATCAGTAAAATGAGGCTACTACTACTTCCCTACACCTCACAGAGATGTTTTGAGGATTGAGCTCTTGTTTGAAAAGGGCTTTCAGGATGTTGACACTTAAGTATAGTGCTCAGCAATAAACATTTTAACACTATAGGTAGAGTACGAGCAACAATAATGACAAACATGTCTGGGAACTCTCTCACACATTTGTTACAGAAGGAAGACTATATAATATTTATATGAGAAATTCATTAGAAGTGATATGTACATATTTATGCTTCTTGTTTAAGCCTCTACTACCCACAATCTGAAGGCTTACACTCCCAGCTCACCCACTGGAGATCGTCTTGACAAAGAGACTAGTTTAAGACGATTCCCAATGATCACTTTTTCCCTCCTAGTATCAAGAAAAGGGTCTGTAAACTGAGAACGCTGACCGCTCTTCCTGATGTTTCCCAGTTACTTTTCCACACAATCTTACAACATTGCACGAGGATGGAGCTCCCTTTCACCCAACTTGCTTAACTCAATGGCAAACTTCCAAGTTCTCTCTCATAATTACCTCCAGTAAACACAAGCCTGCATTTAGAATTTGCACATCCTTATCATGCTGTGATTCTTATCACATATTTTTGCTGAATCTTTATAGCTTTCCCTTATGCTGCTATGAACTGCCACACTCTTCAATCACTCTGGCACTCAAAAGCAGCCAACTTGTTTTTCTATAGTGTGCAATCCATTTTCCTAATTGTTTGATTAGAGTTGCAGTAACCACATTTATTTTAAAGAGGTGGGTTTCTCGCTCCAAAATAACTGTTGGAAATCACTTAGTAGAGTTCCTCCAATCAAAACAAAAACTGCATAGGCAAAAGGGTTTCTTATTTCACTTCATGTATACACATGCACCATTCGCCAAGGAAATTTAAGTCAGTTTTACAAATTAAAGCCAGAGAAGTTTGGAAGGGATTTTACAGAGTGAGTTTATGGTGTTCTTTGGAGCACAACATCTCTCCTCACATTCTTGAAGAGGAAGAGTTCAACAGTTCAGCTTCATTTTATGCTTCTCTCACCCCCACAACACAGTGTGGCCTGGTCCCTGTTAGAAAAGCACCTATATTCCAGCCGTGGGCTATGTTAGCAAAGTGCTCAAAGCCTGAGCCATGGCTACATTAGCAGCTGAACACCAGTGCTGCTTTACCAGTGCTGCAACAAGAGTACTAATTTTTCTAGTGCGGACACACTCAAAGGGACCCTCAGAACCACCATAGCCACTTGGCATGAACCACCCCTATGTCGTACACACCTGCCTTTGAAAACGATGGCGTGTTATTATTGATGCTGATTGATCATTCAGGATTATTCTCCCAATCCTTAACCGGCAAAGTCACTTACACTCAGTTTAAACTGAGGAAGAGTCAGACTTAAGTTGACACCTCCAGTTACTATTTAGCTAAGAAAGAAATAAAAGTGTGTATACAGTACCATCTATAATATATTTACTGGTATCCAACCCAACATAGTCCAGCAGTTCAAATGGACCCATGGGATAGCCAGCTCCCAGCTTCATAGCAACATCAATATCTTCCTTTGATGCATCTCCTAGAGAAAATATTGACAGTTTGATGAACAGAGAAGATTCTGCATCTATTTGCCATCATTTTTAAATAATTAACACAGCGTTATTTCATGCTGGCACAGCTCTTTACAGTAATCTTTGCGGGTCCACTAAAACTGAGCCAGCCCACAGTAAGTGTGTTATGGAAATAAGTGTTGTGTTTAGCGCAGTTAGCAGCAGAAATATAAAACAGTAAATATTAAGTAGTATACAGAATAGCGCTATCATCCTCACTGGCATACTTTCAAGGACAGATTAAGGCCAAATTCATGGACCCATAGATCAAAGTTGTGAGAAAAGTCCAGACGCCAATAAACCGATAGACCCAGGGGGGCTCAACTGCTACAAAATGTGGGCCCAGCCAGCAAAGCAGGAGCAGGCAGGAAGTGCTAAAAAGAAGAGTACAGAGCTGGGTCTCTCCTACAATATGTTTGTGGGCCTAATTCCCATTTTCCTGACTTCGTCCTTATTCTATTGTCTATTTCGGTACAGGCTTTTGTGCTGTATGTGAGGATCATGATAAAAAAAGACCCTCTAATCCGGGGCACACTAGTAAGAGAAGAAGAAAGTGCCATTTTAACTGAAGTTAAAGTTGTTTGAAAGCTTGCAAACAAGATAATCCGAAGAAATTTTGTGCTTGATTATTTTTAAGTTTTCATAAAAATATCTTGCTCTGGTGCAAGTCTATGCATTTCAGACTTTCTAAAAATATAAAATATATAGAAATGTCATTCATAAAATTCTAAAACACAGACTTGAGACATTTAATTTATAGCTTTATAATGTGAATCTGAAAAATAATTTCATGTGGTTTAAAAAAAAAAGGGAAAGGTACGGAACGTAGAATAGAACTCAGCCATATAGAGATTAGATACAGAGAAAGCTGTCAGAGACAGGCTAGCCATTGAGGGGACTTACACAAAGCTCCTTGGAGTCAAAGGGAATCTTTCGATTGACTTCCAGGGACTTTGGTTCAAGCCTGAAGTGATCGAGTTAAACAAGTCTCAAAAGGCCCAATTCTGTGACGTGTCAAGTCAACTCCCACTAAGGTTGATGAGAAATGAGAGTGCGCAGCAGCTTGTAGGATTCAAGCCTCTGGGCTTGATTCTTATTCATAAATCAACAAGAATGCTCTGAATTGTGGAACATAAGCAATAAGTTTTCAAACTGCCTTTTATTTAAGCACGACACCTTTGACTGCTGATCCGGTTCTGAAGCAGCTGTTTTTATGGCTCATTTCCCTTTCTGTGGCTCATAGGTTCTTTTGTGCCCTTTTTAAAAAAAATCATGTTGAAATGTTTGGGATCCGCATTTTGCTTTTGAAAGACGGTAAGAACCAGCCTGTTTCACTATTGGAAAATAATTTTTAATGACGCTTAATTTCAACATGATTTAAACTATTGGGCCTAATTCATCACAGCTGAATTGATGCAACTCAGTTGAAGTTCATGGAATTGTACCTACTTACAACAGCAAAATATTTGGTTCGCTTTCTTTGCTACAGTATACACTTTACCACTTA